CTGAGGACAGTTTTGGAGACTCTTAGGCGTGAGAAGTTGTACGCCAAGTTCTCCAAATGCGAATTTTGGCTTGACCGAGTGGCTTTTCTAGGCCACATTGTCACCTACAGAAGGATTGAGGTTGACCCGAGCAAGATTGAGGCCGTCAGGAACTGGTCGACACCGAGAAATGCCACCGAGGTTCGGAGTTTTCTCGGTTTGGTGGGCTATTATCGGCGCTTCATCGAGGGGTTTTCAAAGATTGCCCTGCCCTTGTCTCGTCTGACGAGGAAATCAGTGAAATTTGAGTGGGATAGTCGTTGTGAGTCGAGCTTCCAGGAGCTCAAGGCGAGGCTTACGACGGCACCCGTGTTGACCATTCCGGACCCCACTCAGGGTTTCACTATCTATAGTGATGCCTCGAAGCAGGGTCTAGGCTGTGTTTTGATGCAAGACGGCAGGGTTGTGGCTTATGCTTCCCGTCAACTAAAGCCGCACGAGGTGAACTACCCGACTCACGATCTTGAGTTGGCAGCAGTGGTTCACGCCCTGAAGATCTGGAGGCACTATTTGTACGGGGGCCACTGCGAGATTTATACCGACCACAAGAGCTTACAGTATATCTTCACCCAGAAGGAGCTCAACATGCGCCAGCGGCGATGGTTGGAGCTGGTGAAAGATTATGACTGTACCATCAATTATCATCCAGGAAAAGCGAACATAGTAGCTGACGCCCTCAGCCGGAAGGGAAAGGGGGAGTTGACCTGTATGATCACTCAGCAGCGCCAGTTGATTCATGAGTTCGCTCGGATGCAGCTAGAGGTGGTCGAATCACCTCCCAAGTTGCCAGTTGTGGGAGGTATTCGAGCGATGAGAATGTGGCCCACGTTGCGAGACAGGATACGGCGGGATCAAGCCTTCGACGAGTTCATTCGCTCGATGGGGGCGAAGATTCAGGCCGGAGGAGTTGAAGGTTTCTATCGAGGCACGGATGGTGCCTTGGAATACAAGGGGAGGATCGTTGTGCCAAATGTCGAGACCCTGAAGAAGGAGATCTTGACCGAGGCGCATAGTGCTCCTTACTTGGCGCACCCCGGTAGCACCAAGATGTATCATGACCTGAAAGGGTCCTTCTGGTGGAAGGGGATGAAGAGAGATGTCGTCGAGTTTGTCGAGAAGTGTCTTATCTGCCAGCAAGTGAAGGCTGAGCGTAAGGTTCCACCGGGTCTCTTGCAGCCTTTAGAGATTCCGCAGTGGAAGTGGGAGAAGCTGACCATGGACTTTGTCACGGGTTTGCCGATGTCGGCTAAGCATCATGACGCGATATGGGTAGTAGTGGATCGACTGACGAAGTCGGCCCATTTTATGCCTGTCAGGATGAACATGTCCATGGAGCAGTTAGCCGAGACGTATCTCCAGGGAATCGTTCGACTTCACGGCGTTCCTGCCGAGATTATATCAGATAGAGATCCTCGATTTACTGGCCATTTTTGGAAGAGCCTTAACGAGTCCATGGGGACGAAGTTGAAGGTTAGCTCCGCTTACCATCCGCAGACCGACGGTCAGTCGGAACGAACTATCCAAACGCTTGAGGACATGCTCCGAGCCTGTGTCTTAGAGCGAGGAAGTTCGTGGGAGGAGTTGTTACCCAATGTGGAGTTTGCCTACAATAACAGCTATCACTCGTCGATCAAAATGGCACCGTTCGAAGCATTATACGGTCGCAAGTGCCGCTCACCCCTTTAATGGGATGAAGTTGGCGAGAAACAGGTTCTAGGTCCCAAATTGATCGAGGACACAGTGCATAAGGTAGCCGAGATCCGAGCAAAGCTGAGAGAGGCACAGAGCCGACAGAAGGCCTACGCTAAAAAGCGTAGAAGGGAGCTTGAGTTTGAGCAGGGAGACAAAGTGTTCCTGAAGGTCACGCCGATGAAGGGCATTGTCCGATTCGGGAAGAGGGGGAAGCTGCAGCCCCGATTTATAGGGCCCTTTGAGATTCTCGAACGAGTTGGTGTCACCGCATATCGTCTGGCGTTACCCTCAGAGCTCTCGAGTGTACACAACGTCTTCCATGTGTCGATGTTGAGGAAGTACGTGTATGACCCGACCCACATAGTGAACTTTGACGGGCTAGAGGTCGGGCAGAACCTGACGTATGATGAGCAGCCGGTAGCAGTTCTGGACCGAAAGGTCCGTCGGCTGAGGAACAAAGATATAGAGCTCGTCAAAGTTTGCTGGAGTCGCCACGACGAGTCGGAAGCCACTTGGGAGAGAGAGGCCGAGATCAGAGCTCGATATCCAGATTTCGAGTTTTGAGTTGTATCAGTTGTACCTTGTGTACTTTTATCTAATGCTTTTGTATACAGTTTGTAGTAGGAGTTCTGACCTAGTATCCTAGTTTCGTATTTCCGAGGACGGAAATATTTTAAGGAGGATAGGTTGTAACGCCCCAAAACAGTAATAATATTCAAAACGGTTTCACTGCTCGACTATAAGTGAAATCCGTAAGTTTC